AAAAAAAAAAAACACACACACACAAAAAAGCGTGACGTGACGTAACACACACCGACTTTTATATAGGTTACATATGTAAAACAAGAACATGACATTGTATCCTAACATGACAATAATATCCGGGTGGCTTTGAAACAATGTTAACAAAACAAGAATGATGAAGTAACGTACACTCTAGCGCGAACAAATCTACAATGCTAGTTCACCATCAAGAAGATGACAAAAATAATAATGAAATCGTCGAACCCGAATATGATTTGAAACACATGTTATGAAAATACAGAAGCAGAACGATGGCCAGTGGATAAAGATTAAAACTCTATATAAATAATCATCAGGGCTAGAAGTTGGAGTTAGTATGGGGTATCTGAAGAAATCTTGTATTTTATATAAGGAATGTTTGACTGTAAACCGCCAGAAGAAAAATATTTACATGCACCTTACTTCAAATTGATAGTTTAGGTAATCTCTATTTGTGAAACATTAAAAATATAAAACAAATCGACCAATGTAGCGACTAGAGTACACTGACCTCGCCGTAGACATGCTAATATAAGTATTCAAAATATTTTAATATTCATATTTTCCTTTCAATTTGTTTTCTATTTGTTAACCAATTTGAGATGGCAAAAAAGTCTTAAATGTTTTTAGATGTAGTTAAAACTAGAAAATGTAGGTTATCCTACCAGGTTCTGACGAACAATATATGTTGAACAATCATTCTACAGTTTCTATAATTGTTTCTGACGAACAATATGTGTTGAACAATCATTCTACAACAGTTTCTATAATTGTTTCTGACGAACAATATGTGTTGAACAATCATTCTACAACAGTTTCTATAATTGTTTCTGACGAACAATATGTGTTGAACAATCATTCTACAGTTTCTATAATTGTTTCTGACGAACAATATATGTTGAACAATCATTCTACACTTTCTACAATTGTTTCTGACGAACAATATGTGTTGAACAATCATTCTACAGTTTCTATAATTGTTTCTGATGAACAATATATGCTGAACAATCATTCTACGACAGTTTCTATAATGTTTCTGACGAACAATATGTGTTGAACAATTATTCTACAACAGTTTCCATAATTGTTTCTGATGAACAATATATGTTGAACAATCATTCTACAGTTTCTATAATTGTTTCTGACGAACAATATGTGTTGAACAATCATTCTACAACAGTTTCTATAATTGTTTCTGACGAACAATATGTGTTGAACAATCATTCTACGACATTTTTTATAATTGTTTCTGACGAACAATATATGTTGAACAATCATTCTACAACAGTTTCTATAATTTTTTCTGACGAACAATATGTGTTGAACAATCATTCTACAACAGTTTCTATAATTGTTTAGTTTTAGGGTTGAAGTAACACAACTCTTGAAACTAGAACGAGCAGGTCTTTGAAATAATTTTGAAACTCCAGTAACCATTTATGTGTTGGAAATTTAAGAAATACATTTTATGCGACTATTGAAAGGAGCATTTCTAATTCAAAATTTTAATATTTCAATTTTTTTATGAGTTTTCATGGTTTATATACATATACGTGATATAAATCTTTATATGCATATAGCAACATACCAATAGAGCCTATGGACATCGAAATGATTATATGATAATTAATAAAAAAGCAGGTTATGTTTTTTAATGGTTGAAGAAGCACCTGTTGTAATAATGTGAAGGAACTTGCGGTCGGTTGAACTGCGAGGTTCTTTTTCTTACGCGAGGAACTTGTGTGCACTGGAGTGTTGCTAGGCCCCCGTGAAATATTGAATTTAAAGCTACAGTTGTTCTTCTTGTGTGATACGTTTTTTCATCAATTTTTTTATGCGTGGCAGGTACGGACGGCGTAGTGTTGTGCGGTGGCTCTTGCGAGAAGGACGGATGTCTGTTTTAGAGAGAACCAGTACGGGAGCATTAGCTTTACACTACGCCAGCTCCAAAGGGTGTTTGGAGTGTGTTAAGCTTATTGTGGAGACATGCCCAGAACTAAGGTACTGAGTTTGAATAAATTTAATGTAGCTTATAACTTAACAAATAAAGTAATTATGATCACCTATTAATTAGATATGATGTAAATGATTGTTGTCTAACTGTTAGGATTACTAATTGACATGGTTATTAAATACTGTTAATTTAATGAGGGGAATTAGGGATCTTCAGAAATAACAGAAGCAAGATAGGTAGCTTAAAGTGAAAATGCAATCGCAAAAAAGTAATCAAGCAAGCTTAAGGCTTGAGACATGGTTTTGACATTATTTCCTCAAGCTACAAATCCCTATTTTGAGTCCAAGTCTAAAAGCTATAGTGTTTACTTTTTGGCGATTTCATTATCACTTTAAGCTACCTATCTTGTTTCTGTATTTTTTGAAGATCCCTATTCCCCCTTTTTATATTAATAATTTTTAATAATCTTGTTTCTTTAGCTTTTTTATGTCCATCATAGATATAATTCTGTATAATTGTCCTATTTGAAACAGTTTAGTTTAATGAAATACGTAGTTGGTGTATTATGTTCTCTTGAGAAACAACGACAACCTTTGTATTGTCTTAATACAGATTGGATGGCTATTGCTCTTGATATCATTGTCACAACGTTGTCATTGATAGTGGTACTGTATGTATGATCACTATGATGTGTGGTGATCAACATAGCACATGTTATGTATATGCTTGTAAAATATATATATACCTACTATATTTATACCCTGTAGCTATATGAGGATTCTGTAAACACTGGATTGGTAAGGACTATTGAACTCTACTGGAATGATACATGGACTGGATTTCTTAGCCGCATGAGTTTTATACAGCCATGCACATGCAATGCATGTTGAATAGTATTTAAATCTATCTATCTACATCCAGGCTTTATAATATTTACAATCAAGCCGTATATACAGATAGCCATATGAAATTTTAAGTTATATAGAATCATGCATATATACTCAATTTAAAAATGCAAATATAAGATAATGCACAATAATACAACAGGATATGCATACAAATATACATTTAAACTATTTTTTATAATTGTTATATTTCCCTTTTTTCTCTTCCTCCTCTCCCCTGGCCATAGTGAGACCAGTCACGGTTTTGCTGCAGCTGGCCAGATATCCTACAAGTTCGAAAAAAGATTAATTACCAATTATGAATTAATTATGTTAATATACCTTTCCCCCTCCAATACCGATGGAATTTGGTTCGTGAAACTTCTACGACCCTCTTCTACTGTGACGACCCTAAACTCTGGTGGGCCGTCGCTGCTGTATACTTTATCTGAAACTAAATATCGAAAAAAAAAAATCTATAGCTATAAAATTTCTGCCTCCATTTCGCCTAGAATCGCCATCTTCTACTTGCACGATTCTTGCCACTCCATATAGTCAGCTTCAAAGGCGGTTACTCTATCTGTAGTATCTAAAAAATTCGAAATCACGCAGTGTTGGCTATAATTCGACACTTACTATCAACCATCACCGTCACTGCCGATCCGATGTTCGAAACTGAGCTTGATGTTTACCTGTTAAACTACGGTTTAAAGATTTTTATTGTGGGAGACAACCTAGATGTTTGTATAACATGGCCGAAATCGATCATGCAGTGGTAAAAAAAAACTGATCCTGTTAGCAACGTCGTGTTCGAAAGGACAGGAATCCTATATATACATATACAAATAATACGCAACATCAACACAGTTGAAGCAATAAGTTAATAATCGCTATGGTACATGTGTCATGCTTGCCATATAAACATTAAATTACATCCACTGCCTGCAGACAGCTATATACGTATGAACGTAGTAGATTATTAGACTGCACATAATCTACAGACTACATTGGAACGATTGGGTGTGAATGGTTATACAGCCGTTGTTATTTGATAGATAGTCAAGTAAACTTAAAAACTACCCTATACAACGCACAATGATGCGTTTAGTAATATTGTCCAAGCTTTATTACAATACCAAGCTATTTGTGGTGTAGGCTGGCGGAACAGTATTAAATGATAATAAGGAAGAAGAAATGGGCGATCCCTATTATGAACCATTACCGTGGTTCATGATAACAATGGTCAATCACAATTGTTTAAATGATAAAGAATAAAAAAATTGGGAAATTCTTGGTGTTGAACTAGTAATGTTGATTAAATAATAAGAAATTGAAACTTAACGTTTACCTCTTAAAGATATTAAATAACACACATTGCGATATGATACCAATTTGTATCTAGAAAAAACACATTAAATTATCCAGCTTTGGAAAGCTACTGATGCTTAAGTGTCAAACTTAATTAATTAATCAAGAATTCGAGAAACTACTGATACTTAAGGGTCAACTTTGATTAAATGACCCAACTCCTGAAAAGCTACTGATGCTTAAGTGTCAAACTTAATTCATTAATCAAGAATTCGAGAAACTACTGATACTTAAGGGTCAACTTTGATTAAATGACTCAGCTTCTGAAAAGCTACTGATACTTAAGTGCCAAGTTTGATTAAATGACCCAACTCCTGAAAAGCTATTGATACTTAAGTGCCAAGTTTGATTAAGTTACCTAACTCCTGAAAAGTTACTGATACTTAAGTGCCAAGTTTGATTAAATGACCCAACTCCTGAAAAGCTACTGATACTTAAGTGCCAAGTTTGATTAAATGACCTAGCTCTTGGAAAGCTACTGATACTTAAGTGTCAATTTTGATTAAATGACCCAACTTTAAAAATGCGTGGTCTTTTTGGATTACAACTTATTTTACTGTACTTCAGTAATAAACCAATAAACCACACTTGAATATAATAGATTCAATAGTGGGATTGACCGTCACATTATAACGCCTTCACAACTGAAAGGGTGAGCATGTTTGGTAGGACGGGGATTCGAACCCGCGACCCACAAGTTGCGAGTCGAGCGCCCTAACCACCTGGCCATGCTGGACACTCTGATTTGTGAATCATAAAATCCACGAAAACATTACTTAAGAGCACAAGAGTTAAAACTTAATTACAAATCCCCAACCTAAATAACACGTTATTTTAACTGATTTTGATAAAGAAGCTTAAGAATATTGTACTGTGTTTTTTGTTGTTGGTTAATTAACCAGAAACTTTGCCAGTGCAACAGCTTCCAACTAAACTTTGAAAATTAAATTAAATTTTTAATTGCTATTCTAGAATACGTAAGTGAACTTGAAACACTGACCTATAGAAACAAACTGACCTGGTTGTTTTTATAACTGAATTATGTTACGGACATCGGCTGTTATGTTGGAATTCAAACAAATTAAAAGTAATATAAAATCATATAAATTTAGATAGTTTTGGGTGTCTACAGAAATAAATCTACGTAATAATTAAAAGGGGATACATATTATATTCTTATGGATGAAGTTTCTCATATTGTTTATGAATATAAAATGTGCACTTAGTATATGCACAGCCTACCAAAAACTAGAGAAACCCGAGAATACAAATCGAACAACTCCATAACGTCATATGCAAGTAATCTCGACGTACAAATATAGGTATAGCTCCGAAATAAAGACCATAGAATACAAACAGCCAAACTACGAATGAAAGGATCCCAGAAATCAAACGAATTTTCATGAGGTCGCGTAGTTGGACGATGTGAGGAGTCAAAGTCAGTCCGAGATCGCCAATTCACTTGCAGTACCACTGTCCACAGAGAACAGGATGTTTGTTGTAGAGCAAAGCCACACTGGGCTATCTGCTGTGTCCACTGCGGGGAATCAAACCCCGGACTTTAGCATTGTAAGTCTGTAAACTTACCGTTGTCTCACCGAGAATAGGGTGATTAATGCAGTTCCATTCACGTTGTAAAACAACAGTTTGTAGACAGTCCAGGTGCCGAAAATCAACAGAATCTACTCTTCGCGCTGTGAGGAAAATGTCCCGTTTCAAATGGCCGCTACAGAATAGGTGCAGGTACGCCCCAGTGCCGTCAGAAATTATTTTCTGTCATGGGTTACAATAGCAGAGTAGTACTCCTTACTATAGGGACTATCGTGTGTCGACAGTAGTAGGTATCACAAAGCTCCCTCTAGTTGAACATCATTACATTCACAGTACCTTGAAAACTATAACAGTCTACATTTTATTAACAGATATATTAGATAAAACTAACCCAATAGTTGAATATTAATCTTCATGTTTTGAGCTCTGAGACAAGATTGTCCATATAATTGGATATTTCTGTCCTTGCTGAGAGGTCAAAGGCAAAGATAACCCAATAGAAGGATATGATGTAAAAGTAACCCAGCATTGGGTTATTATTGTCATTAGTTTGAATGTCTGGTGTTGAGATTGAGAGTACTGCTGCCGATGGAGAATGTTAAGAGCTAATAGGCTTGACTATGATTAGGTAAACCACCGAAAGTCCCTTTCTAACCAATTACACATCACTTGTTTTCAGAAAAGGAATTTTTTGAAATATAAAATTTATCTAGATATCTGTTGACGTTATAATAAAAATTATGTCTAGTTCATTCCAATGTGTAATTGAGATATTGATAATGGTAGAGTCTTAAGAATAGCTTCATTACAAAGACCCTTTAGTTGGTAAAGATACAGTCATGAGAATAGTTTCGTTACTGGAAACAATCAGCTGATAAGAATACAGTCAAAATAATAGTTTCGTTACTGGTAGCTTTTAGTTGAGAAGGAGACAGTCATAAGAATAGTTTCGTTATAAGGAACCTTTAGTTTATAAGCGTAGAGTCATAAGAATAGTTTCGTTATAAGGAACCTTTAGTTTATAAGTGTAGAGTCAAAAGAATAGTTTCGTTACAAAGAACCTTTAGTTTATAAGTGTAGAGTCAAAAGAATAGTTTCGTTACAAAGAACCTTTAGTTGA